CAGGAATTGACAGCATACAAATTGACAAATTTAAAGAAACAGACACTGCCCAAGTTGTGCCAAGAAATCTGGAGGACAACCACCTGGCCAACTGACTAGAAGAGATCTAATGTTCCCATTCCAAAGAAAGGTGACCCAACAGATGTGGAAATTATTGAACAGTATCACTGATATCACATGCAAGCAAGATTCTGTGGAAGATTATCCAAAAATGACAGAAACAGCACCTAAACAGAGAAGTGCCAGATGCAGGCTGGGTTTAGAAGAGGCCATAGCACTAGGGATATTATAGCAATGTTAGATGGATCTTGGCTGAAAGCATGGAGTACCAGAGGAATGTGTATCTGTGTTTCATTAACTATGCAAAGGTGTTTGACTGTGTTGATCATAACAAACTGTGGCTGAGTCTGACTGGGAATCCCAAAACACCTGATTGTGCTTATGCAAAGCCTACATTTGCACAAGGAGGCAGTTGTCAGAACAGAGCAAGGAAACATTGCATGTTTCAAAATTGGGAAGGAATGTGTCCTATCTCCATACCTTTTCAATCTATATGCAGAACAGATTATCCGGGAGACCCATAGTTAGGTGGGTTCAAATTCACCAGCTGCTCCTAAGAGGAAAGATAGGTAATCTCCACCTGTGTAATTTACAGCCTCTGTGGAGTAGTATATATGTATTGGGCTGCTAAAAGGTCAGTAGTTCAAATCTACCAGCTGCTCCACAGAAGAAAGATGGGCAGTCTCTTGCTATAAAGATTTACAGTTTCAGGAATATAGCAGAGGGCTGCTAGGAACTGGAGCAGACTTAACAGTGATAAATTTATAAATGGAAATCAATCTGTCTTGCTGAAAGAAGAAGGATATGTAACTACATTTCAACACAAAGTTTCACAAAAAATCAGCAACGTTCAATAGTTATTATCTTTTCAAGAACTCCTACCTGTAGTTTTTAATTCAGTCAACAAAATTATCATTTTATTCACTTAAAAATAGACTCTATATAAAATTATTTACTATTACAAACAAATATTACCACAAATAATAATTACATCCACCTGTAGGGATGCTAAATAGGTCTCTTTTAGATTGTTAGAGGCATGCAAAGTATTTCTCAATAGCTGGTAAAAAAAAATAGATGAAAGAAAAAGACGTACCATCATTATTTTTGTCCAAACTCTTAAATGCCAACTTCATTTTTTTCTCATGGTCTTTAAGGTACTTCATAAATTCTTCAAAGTCCAGCATCCCATCTTTGTTGGTATCTCCAGTATTAAAAATTTTCTACAAAAAATAACAAATTAAAGTTCTTTTACTGCTAACATGGATTAACGTACTAAATTACTGGTACACATACTTCAAGTAGACTGTTATCCTATAAGATTAAAGCACCAAGTATAGGCTAACTACTGTATTATCTAATATGTAAAGATTTTTAATAAAAGTTATGTCTATAAAATAATTCCAAATCTTGTGTTAAATTGTCTACTGGAAACATGATTCAGTGATTGCTATAAAACATGATTCTTTTAATGTTCATGTAATCATACCCCAAATATTTTCACTAGTATTTTTTAAATGCCAACACATAATGTAAACACTTGACCAGACACACTAAAAACCCATACTCAGTTCCCCTGAAAAGTAGCTCCCACTGAAAGATAGAAACCTGATGAAAGAGAGTAGCCTTCCATCAGATTTTTACAGTTGTAAACAGAAAACATAAAACACCAAGCCCTCATCTTCCATTTTGAACTTGGATGAAGCGGCTGGACTCTGTACGACCGTGATCTTGTTTTGGTTAAGGATCTGTGTGGATTGTTTCATTGTTTTTATTTAAGTCTCCTGCTTCGAGTCAGTAAGACCTCCAGGAAGACAGCTGTATTTAAGGCCAAGCCCTTGTCTCAATTTTGGAGACTGGGTGAAGTGACTGGACTCTGTAAGATGGGCTCTCTTGTTTTGGTTGAAGGTCATTATGGAATAGTTTGGTTGAGGGCCCTTGTATTTAAAAGGTTGGCCTGAGAGATTCTATTTTAATCCCTTGTTATTAAATTTTGGAGGAACATTCTTCTAAATTATACAGCTCTCTTCTGTCCATTTGCTGTGCTAAGGTAATCTGGTTTTGCTGTGATGCTGAACTTTGTATCATTGGGGTCTCAAATGCCATAATGGCTGCCCATGGTGGACAGTGTTTGGTGGAGCTCCCAGTTTAAGACAAGATAGGAATCAGAAGTGGCATCCACTTCCTAAACCACATGCCTCTGGAAACTCTATGAACTTGGAGAAATGACAGTTACAGAAAGGCCTCAGGTCTTTTGTTCATAGAGTTGCTGAAAGTCGTACATGACTCAATGGCAATCAGCAAAAACAACAAATAGAAAGCACAAGACTACATCTTTCTCCCAAGCCAGCTGCTGATAGATTTCAACCTCTGAGGAAGAGCAGCCTTTGAACCCAGCACAACTCACTAGGGACCACCAGAGTTCTCAATAACCTGACACGGGTTTGTTTCAATGTCTAAAATAATATTTTTCCCCATTGATTTCCAGAACCAATCCCTTCTTAAAAGATGATCCTTATAAAAAGTTACTGTGTCCAAAAGAACCACAGGATAACTAGTTAGCACTGGTGACCTCTTTCAAAGCGATGACAATTGAATATCCAAGATAGACTGGGAGAAAATGTAAAAATAAATTAAAAATCCTAAAATACCAGGCTTATTGGTCTGACTGAGACTGTAAGGATTCTCACAACTAATGACCCTTAGACTCACTTCAAGCCTGGAACAGAATCGCCGCTGTGGCTCAGCTCTCAGCCAAATGATAGATGGATCTATAAAGTGAGTAAGAGCTCCAGGAGAGCGGGTGTCCCTCAACAATCAACAATGTGAGGTCAAAGGGCAACATTTATGCAGGGACAAAGTCCTGAAAAGGACCTGAGGACTGGAAACAGTAAACAAAGGGAAGAAGGGAAAGGGTGCCGTTATACAGTGGGGATTGCAATCACTGCCAAAAAGACAGACTGTGTACAAGTTGTTGAATGGGAAACCAATTTGCTGTGTAGATTTTCCTTCAAATCACAAGGAAAAGTTAAAAATAAAAAGCAAACCGAAACTGTCATCTCAAACTGCCTGCTATTCCTCAATGATACCTGTCTTCCTTTGACTAGACTAAATTATTTTTAAATGTCCTATTCTTCTAACAATCTTACTTTCTTAATAAGTCATTGACTTTGAAGAACAAATAAAATGTGTGAAACGATATTCCATGTAATTCGTCGCCAACCGCGATTCAAATATAAACTTTCTATTTAACACTCACCTATTGGTGTTGAGTTGGTTCAAACAAAGCCATCTGCTGCCAGGTTTCTAAGGCTATAAGGTGTAACAGAAAGAGACTGCTTAATTTTCTCCTGTGCACTGCTGGTGGACTCAAACAAACCAGCAGACACATGGCCTGTAGGTTAGCACTGAAGCTGGCTATGGACACCACGGCAACCTCATCGCCATTAAGTCAGAACAGACTTCCAGGGACTGTAAACAATCACAGAAGAAGACTGTCCATCTTTCTCTCTTAGAGCTTCTGGTGGACTGCAGTCATCTGAGAGGCACCACTAGAGCTTCTGTAATTTTCTATTAAGACATTCATAATCACCCACCCAAAACTTACAGATTCTATTAGTCTGGCACTCACGCTCTTCTCACATAAACAAACTATACTGTATCAATGTCATACAATGGTCAGCTCTCAGACAGAAAACCTAAAATCCATGAGAGCGCTAGAAAAAGCTACACTTAGAAGGAAATGGGCAATGTTTTAAATGCTTACATTCAAAGAGGGGGAAGACTGGAAGTCAGTAATGAAATCATAATCTTAAGAAATCAAGGAGAAAAACTTTAAAGTTAAAAAAAAATAAAGAAAAGTAATGAAAAAATACAAGTGAGAGCATCAAAGGCAAAAGATCATTCTTTCAATAGATTTAAAAATCAGTATCACACTGAAATGAGCAGGTTGCTAATATCAGAAGTTGAATGATGAACATCTCCAGGCACTCCATACATTAAAGATATTATGAGTAATTTTAGATCAAAAAACATGAAAATCAAGATGAAAATGGACAAATGCTTAGAGAAAAAAAAAACAAAACCTTTTTTTCCCACAAGATAAACTAGAAAATTAAAGTAGTTCTTCGGTGCTGTCGAGTCAGAACCACTCACAGCTGCCCTCCCGCAGGTCTGGAGGCTATAAGCCACACAGGAGGAGATTTGCCCATCTTTCTCCTGAGACACAGCTGGTGGATTTTAGTCTCATGTCATTGGGTTGGCAGCAAAACTCTTTACCACTTGGTCATAAGAAATCCCCTAAAAAATCTTAATAATCCTAAAAAAAAGTTCAATAAATTCAACCTGTTGTTGTTGTT